TCTGACCCCTTTTCTCTCTCTTCTTCTGGGATCCCTATAATGCGAATATTATTATGGAGTCACTGAGTTCCCTGAGACTATTCTCAGTTTGCATATTTTTCATCTCATTTGCTCATCTTGGTTACTTTCAATTACTGTCTTCCAGGTCATGAATTCATTCCTCTGCTTCATCTTGTGTTTTATTTATACCGTCAAATGTATTTTAAATTTATTGTGTTCTTCATCTCTGATTGATTCTTTTTTATCTCATTGTTAAGGATTTCACTGATGTCCTCCACTATTTTCTCAAATCCAGTGAGTATCTTTATGATCATTACTTTAAATTCTCTGTCAGGCATATTACTTTTGTCTGTTTCGCTTAGGTCTCTTGCTGTGGTTTGGTCCTATTCTTTAATTTGGACATATTTCTTGTCTCCTTATTTTGTCTAACTCTCTGTGTCTGTTTCTGTGTGTGAGGAAAGTCAGCTACTTCTCCTGCTCTTGAAGGTCACGGCCTTATGAAGAAGAGGTCCTGTAGTGCCCTGCAGTGCAGTGTCCCCTGTTGCCCAGGACCTGGCGCTTCCAGGGAATGTCTCCTGTGTGTGCTGCCTATGCCTTGCTGTTGAGTCCTGCCCCCCCCCCCCCGTTTTTTGCAGTCCAGTTGTCTGCAGAGGCTCTCTTTGCCTGTTATGGGCAGTATTTGGTCCCCAGCAAGGGTGCAGCGCATTTTAACTAGGTGTACACTGGCTGTTTCTGAAATGAGACCTGCCGACACAGCTGCTGCCACTGGAACTGAGGTCACGAGGTGAGGTGTTGGTGGAGTTTGCGCCCATTTTCTGGGGGAGGGGCCCTGCAGTGTGGGTGCTGAGGCAAGCATGAGTGGGAAGGGTGGACCTGCCGAAGTGTGGGGGGTGGGGCAGAGGGCTTGGTGTAAGCAAGTTAGATAGTGAGTGTCAGTGGTGCACTGGTTCCCACAGATGGCCTTGTTTTTATGCTGGGGGGCAGGGGCAGGAAATAGCACCTGCCAACTCCTTTGTTCCTGGAGGGGTCTCCCAGTGATCCCTGCCTCTCTGGGCCATGCTCTGAGATGAGTAAATCACTCTGACTCTCATCTGTGCACCACCCCCCCGCCATGGCATTTTTTTAAACTGCTGCTTCTAGGCTGTATCTGCATGAGTTGTTTGTCATGCTGTCTCTTTAAGGGCAAGGACTCTTCTTCCTAATGCCTTCCAGGCTCCCCCAGGACTGAGACTGCTGATTTTTAAAATTCCAGGCTTTAAGTCTCACTGGTTGTAAGAACTCACTTTGGCCCCTCTTGCTTTCAGTGTCAAATGTTATGGGGATTTGTCTTCCCCCTGTGGGCTCCCCAATATGCAAGTCCATTTTTTACTCTTCTCTGCACCACTGGCTCCTTCCGCACCACAGATGGCCACAGTCCGTCTCGCTCCCAACTCTGTCTTTCTCCTTCTTACCTTCTTTGATGTGGTCTCTTCCCTACCTTTAGTTTTGGAGTTCTGTCCGTCTTCAGATCATTTTCTGGGCTATTTACACTGAAGTGAGTGTTATCTAGTTGTATCCACGGGAAGAGGCACGCTTAGGGTCCTCCTATTCTGCCCCCTTCCCAGCGTCCTCAAATATCTTTTCTACACATTTCTTTTCTTCTTCTGGAACTCCGATGATACAAATATTAGACCTTTTGATATTGTCCTGTAGGTCCCTGAGGCTCAGCTTACTTTTACTTTTCAATCTTTTTTCTCTCTGTGTTCAGATTGCATACTTTCTTTTAAAAAAAGATTTATTTATTTTAGAGAGAGAGGTAGAGAGTGTGTGTGAGTTGGGGGGTGGAGGTAAAGGCAGAGGGAGAGAGTGTCCCTAGCAGACTCTGTGCTGAGCACAGAGCCTGACATGGGGCTCGATCTCATGACCCTGACATCATGACCTGAGCTGAAACCGAGAGTCAGGCACTTAACCAACGGTGCTACCCAGGAGTCACTGAGATTGCATACTTTACATTGATCTGTACTCAGTTTCACTACTTATTCATTCCTCTGCCATCTCCATTTTGTTCTTTGGATCATCCAGCGAATTTTGAATTTTAGGTATTATATTTTTCAGTTATAGAATTTCCCTTTGGTTCTTATAGTTTCCATTTGCTGAGACTGGCTACCTTCCATTTGTTTCAAGAATGTTTGCAGTTACTTGGAGAATGTTTATAATTGTCTTAAAGTTTTCATCAGATAATTCCAGTATTCAAGTCATCTCAGAGTTCGCATCTGTTTGTTGTCTCTCCCCCTTGATAATTGGTCAGCATTCCAGCTTCTTTGTATGTCAAGTAATTTTGAATTATATGTTAGACATTTTAAATACTAGGTTGTGAGACCCTGGGTCTTGTTTAAATCCTATGGAGAATGTTGGCTTTTTGTTTTATTAGACAGTAACCTTAGGGTCAAGCTGTAATTTCCAATTTACCCTCTGTGGCTGTGGTTTTAAGGCCAGTTCAGTTTTCAAAGATTTTGTAGTGAAATCCAAGTCTGTCCTGCATGTGCAGTATTCAGGGGCCAGTCAGACCTGTGCCATGGTTTCTATAGTTCAGTTCTCAAAACCCCGGGTATGCTGCTTAAGGCCAGATCCACACATGCACAGTTCAGGGATAAGCCCAAGTTTACACATAACTTTATGGGACCCCTTTCTTGATTTCCCCCCCTTTCTACACTCTCCAGGTCCTAATGAGTCCTCTTCCTGGTCTGCTGGCTTGAAAGGTGTACCTTTAGTGTTTCCACTCTGACATGCCCTTCCTTGGACCCAGTCTGCCTCTGAGGACAGGTGGTGGGAAGATACATAGAGTAAAGACAATACTGAGGGTTTACCACATACTTTTTGTATCACAGTTCCTCTGGTCAAAAAGGATTTCCCTCTCTCAGATTTTTAGGTCCCTGCCCAGCTGCTGCCACTGCCATCAGATTGTAGCTTTGGAACTTGAGCTTGCATGAGGGCAGGACCTGGAGAGAAAAACAACATAGATCCCTCCAAACTCCCCCTCTTTCTATCCTATGGGGGTCCTTCCTCCCATTCCTTAGAACAGAAAGAGCTCCGACTGTCCATGCCTGGTGCACAATTCTGGGATTCAGGCTTCCTTCTGAGTCCAGTCTGTGACATACAGGAGGAAAATAAACCCAGGAAATTTATAGCCTCGTTGGTTGTACTTTGAGTTTGGTTTCCATTCCCAATTTGCCCATTACCTTTTACTTTTCAGGGGCCTCTGACAGCTGCTCCACACATTCTGTCTATGGTTTCTGGTTGCATTCACTGGGAGATTCAGGGTGGGGTGTGCTTATTCCACTTAACCAAATTTTAAAGTTCATCTTTTACCATTCTTAATTTTTTCTCTTTTACTATTGTTTTGTAGATGTTCTTTTTATATTCTGTATACAAGTCCTTTGTTATATATATATATAGTACATATTTTATGCCAGTCTAGGGCTTGACTTTATTTGATAAAGCCCATTTTAACAGCTTTGGCTGTTATAATTAGTGTTTTTTGTGTCCTGTCAAAGAAGCATTTTCCCATGTTCATAAAGATTCTCTCCTATGTCTTCTTCTTGAAGATGTATAATCTTAGCTTTATATTTAGGTCTATGATTCATCTAGAATTAATTGCATTTTCCTATCCATGAAAATTTATATTTCTCTATTTAGATTTTCTTTAATATCTCTCTGCACTATTTTGTTCTTTTCAGTGTACAGGTCTTACACATTTTTCATTGCATTTCTTTCAGGCATTTTGTTTTTATGCTATTGTAGGTGATATTTTAAAATTATTCATTGCTAGTAAATAGAAATACAGTAGATTTGACCTTGATGATATTCCTTTTTATACACATAACTAAACAGATATATTTATTTTATGTATCTGATCATTCTAATATCTTATGGCATTGTGCAACCAGTTTTACTAGTAGTACCTTTTACCTTAGGTATTTTGTAATTTTTACTGTGGTTTCACATTTAATTGAACTTTCTCCATGGGGATTCTTTGAGGCCTAGGTTGAAAGTAGATTTCTCTAGAAGGTTTTTTTTTTTTTTTTAAAGATTTTATTTATTTATTTATTTATTTGACAGAGAGAGAGAGATAGCAAGAGAGGGAACACAAGCAGGGGGAGTGGGAGAGGGGGAGAGACAGGCTTCCCGCTGAGCAGAGAGCCCGATGCGGGGCTCCATCCCAGGACCCCAGGATCATGACCTGAGCCGAAGGCAGATGTTTAACGACTGAGCCACTCAGGCGCCCCTCTAGAAGGTTTTTTGATAACTTCACCAGGTACCTGGGAGCATATCAACCCAGGATTATTTAAAAGTTTCAGTGTAAAATAAATAGTACACTTGGAGTATGAATTCAGATCACAAACTTGCATAAGGGTGAACTTTTGATTACAAAATCTTAGCATCAAGGTTAAAATATGCAAGATACCCTATTTTCTGTCGCTCCTTTGTGTCTCATTTTCCATGCCCTGTTAAACCCCAGACCTCTGAGCCCTTCTTCACCTTGTTGTAGCTTTCCGCTTGGATACCTATTAATATGCCAGAGGTGAGCTTATGCCAATCCTCCAGATGTCTGGGAAATATGGATTACCTTTTCTAAAAACCACTTATCTCCACCTTTTCTGCACCTAGCCTTGGGCTTGGAAGTAAAAATACAGATGTGCAAAATGCACATGGCCTGTCTTCATGGCACTCAGTTTGGGAGGAGGAAATAGTGACTTAATACTTTTAATAAGTATTAGCCCCTGTCTTGTGTCAGCCACCATCTTGGTGCTTTCGTGTATGTCACTTAATCCTGGGGATGACCTAGCAGAGCAGGCTCTTTCATTGGTACTTTTGCGGGTGAGAAAATCCAGGCCACAGGGGCTGCAGGTGGCAAATGTGGCACTAGGATTTGAGCCCCCTGTGGGAGCCTGCCTTTAAAGGGGAGGCAGAGTGACCACCACTGCAGCCTGTTGATCTGTTGTCACTTCATTCTCTCCTAGAGGCTGTGCATCCCTGTGTACTGCAAGTACCAGTTCTTTAAGACTCCAGTTCACAGAACAGAGGGGCGGCCCCATGGAATCCACATCTACTTCCAGGACATCAATGTCATCTTTCTCGGGGCGATGCAGCCCAGTGACCTGAGGGAATATCTGGAGGGGCCCCCCATGGTGGTGCAAGTTCATGACAGGGACCGCAAGGTAGAGGAGTATTCCCGGAAGCCCACCTTGTTTGGGGATGACCCCTTGGATGCATACGTCAACCTCCAGTCCCTCATCTCTCCGGAAGAGACAGAGAGCAACCCCTTTGAATCCCACAACAAAATATGGGACCCTTATGGGGTTGCCCAGGTCAGTTTTGCCGACCTTCTCCTTGGCCACAAGTACTTGAACTTGGTCGTCCCCATCCACAGCTGTGAGCCCAAGCCCACACACCGTGGCCAGAATGGCAGGAGCAGGAAGGTTGTGGGGTTTCGGGTCCCCACAGATGGCTTCCAGCACAACTCAATGCCGATGGGTAATTACCTCGAGGCCAACTCTGTGCTCAAGCTGCGGGTGGACATCGCTGTGCCACTGCGGGCCAGGGCTGAAGCCCCTGACCCAGAATTTACAGGTGCCCAGTTTGGCCGCATCGTTTTCGTGTTTGACTCCAAGAAGATCTCCCTCCTCCATGACCTGCTGCAGGACATCACCATGATCAATGCCAAGGCCCTTGAATTGGAGGCGTACCCTGTCAGGAACATTCAGCAGATCCTGTCGGCCTTTAAGGTGCGGATGAAGATCCAGGAAAGGCAGGACCTGGATGTGCTCACTGGCTTCCACCTGCTGGATGGGAAGATCCACCTACTCATTCTGGAGGGTTTAGCTGACCAAGGCTTGAAGCGGCTATGGGACAGCCATCAAAGCCGGTGGGTGCGTGGTTTTTTTGTGTTTTATGTAAAAGTCATGATGCCGGGATGCTGAGTGTGTGGAGTGGGGAAATCTTTTGAAGCCAGGCTCAGGTTTAGTGTCCTCATCTTAAGGATGAGAGAAAGATACGTTGATCCAGTTCCTCTCGGGGTTTATTATAGAGCACTTCACAGGGCTCCATCATTGGCCTTGATCCCAGGAGGAATTGCTTGCCTTTAGATGAAGGGAAGACTTTAGGGGCATGTAGAAGAGAGGGTGGTTCAGGAAAATGGGCCCTCCCTTCAGACTCCTGAGGGGCCTACTTGGCTAACCGGGAGAAGAAAGTTCTGTATGGCCCTAAGATGGACACCACAGAGGAATAGATTTCCACCCAGTCTAAGGAGACCTATCTGATGATTTTGAGGCTGGAGAAGCTGCCTAGGCTGCAGAAAGTTCCCCTTCCCTGATGACCTTCAGGTGCACCTGATGATTGCTCAATGGGAATATTGTAGAGACGATTAAAGTTTCAGATTCTGGGCTGGAGCAGGTGGCCCCTTATGGTCCTTCCATTCTTTAGTTTTGGCTTCATGACAATTCTCTTTTCCTTTCGTTATTTGCAAGTATCCTAGTTTGGATTTAAAGGACCTCTTTATTTTTATTTTTTAGATTTTATTTATTTGAGAGAGAGTGAAAGAATGAGGTGGGGGGGGGAGGAGCAGAGGCAGAGGGAGAAGCAGACTCCCCGCTGAGTGCAGAGCCAAACATGGGACTCAGTCCCAGGACCCTGAGATCATGACCTGAGAGGCACGGTGGAGAAGCTGGCATTGTGTCTAGTTACAGGTCCACACAAAAAACTTGTATGTGAATGTTCACAGCAGCATTATCGATAATAGTCAAAAAAGTGGAAACAACTCAAATGGCCATTAATCAATGAACAAAATATATGTCCATATAATAGAATAATATTCAGCCCTGAAAAAGGAATGAAGTACTGATATACACACTTCAACATGGATGAACCTTGGAAACATACTGAGTAAAAGATGCCAGACATAAAAAGCCACATGTTGTATGATTCTGTTTATGTGAAATGTCTAGAATAGTCAACTCTACAGAGATAGAAGATTAGTGGTTCCCAAGGTCTCAGGGGAGGGACGAAGAAATTAATGGGTACAGTTTCTTCTTGGGATGATGAAAATTTTCTAGAATTGGTATTTATGATTGCACAACATTGTTAATATATTAAGAACCACTGAATTGTAAATTAAAAAGGGTGAATTACAACTAAAAAGAGTGTGCAGTGAAGAATCTGGCCTTGCCCCAAAAGGTCTGGCCTTTGCTTTTGGCTTCTGGGAGGTGATATGTCATACCTAATAGGAGTGCCTTTGCTTAGGTTGGGGGATGACTACACCAGAACTTAGGATAGGATGGGACCACCGCACCTGACAGTCATAGGATAGAGGTTGGCCATGCCAGAAAGACCACCAGTGTGATTTTGGGTTAGGGCTTTGTTCTTGCAGTGTCAGTTGATCTGGAGATTGGGATTGCCATGTGGGCAATCAAGCAATTAATCAGTCATGCCTCTGTAATGGAGCCCAAATAAGAACTCTATATACCAAGGCTCAGGGGAACTTCTCTGTGCATATTGTCCCTCAGCAATGTTACAAGGGCAATGCATCCTGATTCCATGAAGAAAGAGCAATGGAAACTTGGAGTTCAGAACCATCCTAGACTCTGCCCTATGTGTCTCTTCCTCTGGCTGATTTTAATCTGTATCCTTTCCCTGTAATAAGCTGTGAGTGTGAGTATAACAGCTTTCAATGAATTCTGTGAGTTCTTGTAGGAAATTGATGAGCCTGAGGGTGGTATTAGGAACACCTTGAACTTCAGTTGGTATCAGAAGTCAGGGCAGTTTGGGGAACTATGACCTAAACTTGGCAGTTTGGCTAAGTCAGGGGGTGTGGTATGTGAATGATATCTCAATGAACAATTTTGTCCCAGTAGAAGAAATAATATAAAATATGTTCACTGGCCCCAGTTCAGTTAAACTACAAATAAAAAATCATTAACCAGGAAAGAATTTCACATGCTTGGAAATTAACAAATACCTCCAAATAAGCCATGGGTCAAAAGTGAAACTGTAATAGAAATTAGACATTATTGAATTGAACAATAATGAAAATAGTATAATATCTAAATTTGTGGGGTGATGTTAAAATGTTAGAGGAAACTTTATAGACTCAAATGCTTATATTAGAAAAAAGGCTGAAAATTAATGATAGATGTTACATTGAAATAATTGTTTTATTTTTTTAAAGATTTTATTTATTTGAGAGAGAGAGAATGAGAGATAGAAAGCACGAGAGGGAAGAGGGTCAGAGGGAGAAGCAAACTCCCTGCTGAGCAGGAAGCCCAATGTGGGACTCGATCCCGGGACTCCAGGATCATGACCTGAGCCGAAGGCAGTCGCTTAACTAACTGAGCCACCCAGGCGCCCCATGAAATAATTGTTTTAAACTGTCAATAAGTTTAAATATGTATCAGAAATTCCAAGAATATAAAAAACATTTTCAGATAAGATAGTTTAATGAGGTTTCTGGATACAAACATTAATGTAAAAATCTCTCGAATTTCTGAATACCATATACATACAAAAATCATTTTTAAAAAAGTTAATGCTTTTAAATGATTATAAAAATATGAAATTCACATGAATAAATTCAACAAAAAGGATTAGAACATCTCTATCATGCATATTATAGAACTTTTAGAAACATTAAAGAAACCTAAGTGAAGAGACCTACCATGTTCGTGGATTGGAACACTCAGTATTATAGAGGTGTCAATTATCCGCAAACCAGATATATCGATTCAAAGCAATCCCAGTTTTAAAAGTATGGAGCTTGAAAAACCGATTTAAAAATTTACATCGTCATGTAAAAAAAAAAACACTCTTGAATAACAACAAGATAGGAGAACTTGTTCTACAAGATATCAAGGCTTCTTATAAAACTAGTGATTAAGACAATTTATTGGATCAAGGATAGACAAGCAGACATATGGAATATAATAGAAAATCCAAAAACAGACCTACATGTAAGCAGTCACTTGACATATGACGTGTGACATTGCAAGATCAGCAGCAAATGAATATACTAAAACCATTGAATTGTACACATTAAAAGGGTGAATTTAGATAATTTGATACCACTTCACACAGACCAGTTTGGCTGGAATTAAACATGTCAGATAATAGCAAATGTTGACAAGGATGTGGAGAAATCAGAATTGTCATTCACTGCTGGTAAGAATTAGATGAATTAGATGGTAAAGTCACTTTGGAAAACAGTCTGGCAGTTCCTCAAATGACTAGAAAGAGTTACTGTATGACCCAGCAGTCCCACTTCTAGGTAAATGCCCAAGATAACTGAGAACATATGTCCACACTAAATAGTATATAACTGTTTATGAGAGCACTATAAGAGCCATTAGATGGAAACAATCCAAATGTCCGTTAACTGCTGAATGGCTAAACAAAATGTGACATAGAAATACAATGAACTATTATTTGGACATAAAAAGTAATGAAATACTGACTCACACTACAGCATGGATAACCCTTGAAAACATTAAGTGAAGTGAAAGGAGCCAGTCACAGAAGACCACATATTGGACGAGTCATTTATATGAAATGTCCAAAATAGGCAAACCCTATAGAGACGGAAAGAGGGTCAGTGAATACTTAGGGCTGTGGGTCAGGGGGTGAGAGTATTAGGGGGTGATAGGTTTCCTTTTTAGGTGATAAGAAAGCTTGAAAATTGATTGTGAAGACGGTTGCATGTATCTGTGAATAGACTAAAAATGATTGAATTATACACATTAAATGGATGAATTATAGGGCACCTGAATTAAATCTCAATTGAAAAATACCTCTGGCAGACAAAAAAAAAAAATCTGTGAGGAAAGGAGAAACTTTTCGAAAAATGGTGTTGGCAAAATTGTTTGTCCATAAGAAAAAAGGAAAATAATTTCCTACATCAAACCATTCACAAAAGTCACTTCCAGCTGCATTAAAAATCTGTGTACATTTTCAACTTTTGAAAGAATTATAGACTCACGGGAAGTTTAAAGACTGTTGCAGAGATCCCACACACCATTTCCCCACACTGGTTACAACTTACTTATAACTATAGTGCCGGATCTAAGCCAGGAGACCAATGCCAGTACAATGTGCGGGTTGTTTGTGCCAGTTTATCACATACAAATCTGTGTGACCACTACTCTAATGAAGACCTTGAACTAGTTATACCACCGCAGAGAACCCCCTCATGCTGTGTGTTCATAGCCATGCCCACCCTCTTTAACTGTCTTGTTTTCCATCTCCATAATTTTTTCATCTGTATGTGATCTTACATATTAGTGGAATCATATAGTGGATGACCTTAAGAGATTGTTTTTTCCCACTCAGCATAAAGTGCTAGAGATCCACAGTCTTGCATGTATCCATAGTTTGCTCCCCTTTGTTGCTGGGTAGTGTTTCATGGAACGGATGTGCCACAGTTTCACCATCTACCTGTTGAGGGACGTTTTGTTTAGATTATTACAAATGAAGCTGCTGTGAACAATAATTTACAGGTTTTTGGGTGGGCATGTTTTCTTTTTAATTGGATTATAATTGACTTACAATATTCTATCAGTTTCAGGTGTACAAGACAGTGATTTGATATTCTTATACATTGCAAAATGATCACCATGGTAAATCCAGTTACCATCTGTCACTATACAAAGTTATTATAATATTATTGACTCTATTCCCTATGCTGCACATTACATCCCTGTGACTTATTTATTTTAAAACTGGAAGTTTGTACCTCTTAATCCCCATCAGCTGTTTCACCCATTCCTCCCCCACTCCCAGCCCCAGCAGCTACCAATTTGATCTCTATACCTGTGGAATGTTTTGTTTTGTTTGTTTGTGCTGGTTTTTAGATTTCACATGTAAGTGAAATCATACAGTATTTGTCTATCTCTGTCTGACTTATTTCACTGAGCATAACACCCTTTAGGTTCATTCATGTTGCAAATGGCAAGATCTCATTCTTTTATGTGGCTGAGTAATATTCCATTACACACGCACCTCCCGCACATCTTTATCCATTCACCTATCCATGGACACTTAGAGATTGCTTCTATATCCTGGTTATTGCAATAATGCTGCAATGAACATAGTGGTGCACATATCTTTTTGAATTAGTGTTTTCATTTGCTTTTGGCCGAATAGCCAGTAGTGATTTGCTGGATGATAAAGTAGTTCTGTTTTTAAATTTTGAGGACTCTCTATGCTGTTTTCCACAGTGGCTGCACCAGTTTGCATTCCCACCCATAGTGCACAAGGGTTCCCTTTTCTCCACATCCTCCATCACCAACACTTGTTATTTCTTGTGCTTTTGATAATAGTCATCTGACAGGTGGGAGGTGGTATCCCATTGCGGTTGTGATTTGCATTTCCCTGATGTTCAGGGATGTTGAGGTCTTTTCATTGTGTCTGTTGGCCATCAGCTTCTGTTTAGCTGCTCTGCCCATTTTTTGATTGGGTTGTTTGTTTTGTTGTTGTTTTTGAGTCATATGAGTTCTTTTTTTTATTTTTTTTTTGAGTCATATGAGTTCTTTATGTATTGTGGATATCAATCCCTTAGTGGGTATATTGTTTGCGAGTAGCTTCTCCCATTCAATAGGTTACCTATTCTTTTTGTTCATTTCCTTCACTGTGCAAAAGCTTTTTAGTTTGATGTAGTTCCATTTGTTTATTTTTGCTTTTGTTGCCCTCGCCTGAGGAGACATAACCAAAAAAATATTACTTAGACCAATGTCAAAGAGCTTATTGCCTGCGTTTTCTTCTAGGAGTTTTTTGGTTTTATTTAGGTCTTTAATCCATTTGAGTTGGTGTTTGGTGTAAGCAAGTGGTTCAGTTTCATTCTGTGCATGTAGCCGTCCAGTTTGCCCAGCACCAGTTGTTGAAGAGACTGTTTTCCCATTGAATGTTCTCTCCTCCTTTGTCATGCATTAATTGACATCTGAATCCTAAGTTTATTTCTGGATTCCTTATTGTGTTCCGTCGATCTGCGTGTCTGTTTTTGTGCCACTGCCCTACTATTTTGATGACTACAGCTTTGTAGTATAACTTGAAATCTGGAATTGTGAGACCTCCAGTTTTGTTTTTCTTTTCAAGATGGGTGGTTCCATACAAATTTTAGGATTGTTCTAGCTCTGTGAAAAATGCTATTGGCATTTTGATAGGGATTGCACTGAATGTGTGGATTGCTTTGGGTAGTATAGACATTTTAACAATATTTGTTCTTCCAGTCCATGAGCACGGAGTGTCTTTCCATTTGTTTGTGTCATCTTCAGTGTCTTCCTTTCCAATCTGTATTTCCTTTGTGTGATGGAGAGGACCTGCAGTCCTGTTATACATATAAGAGTGGTGACATCCTTGCCTTGTTTCTGATCTTTGATGGAAGACATTAGTCTTTGCACATCACAAATATGATGTTAGGTGGGTGCCTGGGTGGCTCAGTTGGTTAAGCAACTGCCTTCGGCTCAGGTCATGATCCTGGAGTCCTGGGATCGAGTCTCGCATCGGGCTCCCTGCTCAGCAGGGAGTCTGCTTCTCCCTCTGACCCTCCCCCCTCTCAGGTGCTCGCTCTCTCTCATTCTCTCTCTCAAATAAATAAATAAAATCTTTTAAAAAATATGTTAGGTGTAGGTTTTTTGTAGATGTCCTTTATCTTTGAGGAGTTCCACTCTGTTCCTAATTCACTAAGAGTTTCCTAATTCACTGGTTCACACAATTCACAAAAATAAATTCCAGATAGATTAAAACCCATTTGGAATAATTATAGATTCACAATCAGTTGCAAAAATGATACAGGGTAGTTCCATGCACCCACTACCTAATTTCCTCCAATGGTGACATCTGACAAAAATAGAATGCCTTATTGATGGACACAGTGCAGTCAACTAGACCACAATTACCTGATCTTATTCAGAGTTCACCAGAAAAGAAAAATCCGTTTCCGAAAAGCAAAATGAGAAAGCGTTTAGATGAGTAGGATAAAGAAAGTTTTCTTGAACAAGACAGAAGTACACAGGATAAAGGAAAAAGATGCTGGATCCAGCTACATTAAAGTGAATAACTTCTGTTCATTCAAAGATATCATAAAAATTATGAAAAGACAGACTGAGAAAAAAATTATTTGCAGTGTGTGGAGCTGGTATCCTGAATATGTAAAAACACCCATGAATCAATAAGAAAATGAAAACAGGCCAAGGGAAGAGTGGGCAAAAGACTTGAAGAGGTACTTCACCAAAGAGGAAACCCCATAACCAAACACAGAGTCACCGAGGGGATAGGCAGGGTCTCTGCTGCCTTCCCTCAGTTTCCACGAGGTGCAGGAGCGACATGTACCAACACAGGGGAGTGGCGTAGTGGGGTGGGCTTAGAAACTCTGCCAGGCTGGGAGTGCCAGCGAGCCAAGCGTGAGCAGGGACAGAGAATGGGAGCGGGGGCAGAGCAGGAGGAAAATGAGGCAGTGTTCAGGATTCTCACTGCCAAGCTTTGGAAAGATCATCTATCAGCTGTTTTACTATTTTTTTCAGATGATTTATTATTAATGCATTCCTTTTTTTTTTTTCGTGTGTTTTTAAACAAGCAAAAAGAGAAAGAAAAAGGAAAAGAAAAAGAAAAAAGTTCTGCCACAGGGCACAACCGCAGAGCATTCCAGGAGCCCGCAGAGCAGTGCTAAAGCCCTGCCCCGTGGCCTCCTTGCAGAATCACCAAAGCGGAACAGGGCAAATACAAGGTGCTCTACAACTCCGCGCTGCGGTTCCGCCACCGCCTCTACGCCGACCTGGAGACCATCCTGTACCAAGTGCACCTCTTCAAGCCGTTGTCACAGCTCATGAAGCACTCGGCGCTCTACATCCACAACAGCGTTCTACAGAAGGCCTTCCAGGCCCTGACCAGGTGCGCCAGGCTGCCACGGGGGTGAAGGCCACCTCCCTGGGGGTGCCCATGGGGGGGTGCACCAGGGCGTGCAGGGGTGCCACCCGTGGTGGTGCAGGAGCCCCTCCAGGGGCCAGGGGCAGAGGCAGAGGGAGAAGCAGGCTCCCTGCTGAGCAGGCAGCCCGATGCTGGGCTCGATCCCAGGACCCCGGGATCATGACCTGAGCTGAAGGCAGACGTTTAACGACTGAGCCACCCAGGCGCCCCAGTTTTTATTATTCTTTATGCCCAAAGGAGCCGAGCCAGGAGTGGACCCCGAGCCTGTGTCATTCCCAGTGACTATCCCACACGCTCTCCCAGGGGGGTTTTGGAAACACTGGGGAAAGAAGGGCAATTTACTCCAACACAGGTCACACGAAGTTATCTGCTGTTCTTGGGGAATAGCCTAGAACAGCCTGAGCAGTGAGTGATGACCAGAACCAGATCCACCAGGCCTGCCACAGTTTTCTCTACCAACTGAATGTTTGCTTTTGTTTGCTTCTCCCCTAACCTCCTGTGCAGAAAGGCATCCCCCAAAGATCCAGATCCTCCACTATGTGCATGCCTTTACCTGTGCTGTTCCTGTGCTGGGCACCTCCCCATCCCGCCCTGCCCCCAGGCCTTCTGCTGGTGACCCTGCGAAGCTGTGAGCTCCTCCTGCTGGATTGAGCGTGGCTCATTGTCTGGGAGGGCCTTCTCCATTCATGTAGGGAGCAGGAGGGCTGAGCGAGGCACCCCCAGTTTGGAGTGGAGACTGACAAAGCGTAGTGCACTGGGGTCCCTGGGACCATGGCCAGCCTGTGCTGGGCTTTGTGGGGGCAGCGAAGGACAGTGACTGGTTCTTTCAGGAAGTCACGAAGGGCTGACCTTGTGCGACAGTGAGCAGGCCTTCATCAGGTAGACAGTCCACTCACTGTAGCCTGGGGCTGAGGGGGCAAACCATCTCTCTTTAGGCTTTAAAAACCAGCAACAGCCCTGGTTGGGAGTTGGCTCCCAGCTTATCAAATGTGTTAATAAAGGAGAGGGTGGAGCCAGGAGGGAGAGGAAGGGAGAGAGCCCAGCGACGTGGAGGGGACTTAGTCCCATTATCCTGCAGCTCTGCCTGAGGGGCTAGGCAGGTGTGGGTTGGGAACCCCACAACAGTAGGCCGAAGCTGCAAGTCAAGAAGGGTGGACGGTGCAGTGGGCCTCAGCAGGTTCGTGTTGGGGAAGTGCTGGAGCATTTGGGTGTCCAGAGCCTCGGCGGTCAGTGAGGGGACGCTGGGCCCTGCCCTGCCTTAGGGAAAGAGAAGAAAACTGCTATTTATTAAGCATTCACAGCATCCCGGGCAGCTGCACATTCATCATGGCTTTATTCACATCTGAAAGGCCAAGGGGTGGGCCAGGGACCTCAGCTGGTGAAAGGCAGAGACGGTCCTCAGGCGTATGCGCCTCACACTGGACCTCAGAAGTGCCAGAGACACTGAGCAGCGAATAACAGCTCCTGACACGGATTCTGCAGAGCGTCAGCGTGAACCGAGTGCCCACAGCACAGCGGGCCCCTGGGAGAGGGCTCAGTCCTTGAGCTCTGCTGAGATACGAGGCTGAGTGTGAGGTGCCCTCTTCCTGTGGCGGGAGATCTACAGCCCTGATGGCTAGCTGGCTGGGCTGCTCCCTGGTGGGCTATGGGTTGGTGACAGGCATGGAATAAGGCCACAGTAGCAGAAAAATAATCAGAGTGGATTGTGGGAAGCCTTTAACTTCTGGGGGCTGGGAGGAGAGCAAAAAGGAGGCATTCTCTTTTGTGGGCTCGTCCAGGTGGAATCGAAGCTTTGCATCTCTGAGTTCTGTGACCTGGGATGAGCTAAACAACTCCTGAGCTTCATGTTCTCTTGAAAAATGGGACTGGTTTGATGGATCTTGAAAGGTAGGTGAGGCCATGTGGGTGGCCCTCTGCCTTGCAGGATCTACTGCATCTGCCATCACAGCACCAAGCTCAGGGAGGTGATCACCAGAGACCTGCTGCCATCCTCCGCCATGGTCAAAGACTTGAGCCAAGAGCTGGGGCTGCCCATTTCACAAGACGATCTCACAGATGGAAAAGTGATGGTCTTGCCATCTCAGCTGGCCCCCTGTCTTGAGCACTTCCTAAGTCGGAAATCCACTCTCGCTTATGAGATCCAAGCCCACAGGGACAAGTACCTGCAGTGGCGGAACACCATGGTGCTAACTAACAAAGGCCGGGAGCCCAGCCTGATGCAGGTGGGTGCTCTCTCCTCCCCAGGTCAGGGGTCCCAGGCCTTGGCTCCACTTGGGGCTGTCCAGTCACCTGCAGGGAGATGCAGGCTAGATGACCCGTGCCTGTATCTGCTCTCCTGGGATCCTGGGCGGGGTGGGCAGGGAGTATAGGCCGCGGGGCTGAACCGGGGCAGAGGCATGCACTCCCAGCCCTCAGGGCCCCATCTTAAGAACTGGGGTGTGTGTGTGTGTGTGTGTGTGTGTGTGTGTGTGTGTGTGTGTGTG